GTGAGACCCCAGCGCCCTGTCAAGCAGCTGGGCCCCCACTCTCAGCAGAGAGCGAGGGCTCGCCCCTGCCTTAAGGACTTGAGAGTGTGGGAGTTAAGTGCGCCTGTTTTTCCTCTACTTCTTGCACCAAAACCTTTGATTCTTGTGTGGTTTGTTCTGGTACTTCTCTGTCTTCCCTTCTTTCCATAATCTGGCTTTCACTAGACGGGATGTCTTCAGGGCAGAAACTGCCAGTTCTTGAACGTCTGGAAAAGTGCTCTGCTGTGCAAAGTATCAGTAGGAAAGAAATTACTATTAAAGAGCTGTTATTTGTGGAAGGAGAGTGTATTTGTCAATGTCCTGAGAAGCCATAGCAGTGAGGGAAGGATATTTTCTGGTTTGTACTTGAAAGTCTTTCCTGAGTATGCCGTGTCATGTGGCTGAGAGTGACAGTGATGGCTGTGTATGTCTGGAAAAAAAAACAAGAAGGTCTAGGTGTATACAGTATGTGTCATGGTGTTCTCAAATTCTGAGAGTCAATGGCATGCTCTAAATTAAGAGAATATAAGACTGAAGACTTTACTCAGCAACTAGAGCTGTTATTTTCAGTGTCAGTGGCTATACCATGGCTCTGATGGATAATCTTTGACTAGTGGAAACCCATAGGCGTGCTAAGTGTCGTGGAGCTCACGAGCCATTAGAAGTAAGGCATACAAATTCTGTTACCTGTTCCTTAGGGAGAGATATGGAAATAGCACTATGAAAAGTGCTATTAGAGATTTCTTCCTTGGGTCTGTTTTTTAATTTTATCTCAAGTGTGAGTTGCTGGTCAAGCAGCATCTTTAAAAGAGAAAGTCAGAAAACAGCACTGGTGTCTGGAATTTGAACATTGTCAGTCTTGTGTGGTTAGAATTGTCTTCATAAAAGTGTGGATAAATGAAAATGGGGTTAAGGACAATTCAATGTCTGAAAGAAAACAAAAAGTACAGCTCTACTTTTTCCTTTTGGGTAATGAATAATTATTAAAAAGAGCTTAATGTAAATATCTTTCAAATTGTTAGAGACATGCATTTGTCAATGCTGGAAGGCTTACTGTAGTTGTAATGAAATGAAAGTATCTGGTCTGTGTTATTCAACCGGTAACTTAAAAGTTCCTGATTGACCTTAAGATCTGTCAGATTTAACATCAGATTAGTGAAGGTTTGAAAAGCAATATAATTTTGTTACAGAAATATTTCTTTGTCAGTCTGTCAGTGGCAAAAATTAATAGATAGTTCTTGACCTAAAAAGGTGATATGGAAGTTCTGAGCACTGAGTCTTCCAGTAAACTTAATTTTAAAAAGATATTAGTGAAACTTTGCTGAACAGTTATTACTTGTGCCACAATAGAAAAACAGTGTCTTTGAATAAGAGAATCTAAAAGTTTCAGAAGCCACAAATAGATGCGAAAGGTATAACCAGCTGAATCTGTGAAGAACTTTTACTGGGGATCTCTGCTAGTTTTCAGACTCTAGTGCAGATTAACTTGTGCATCGGTAACATCATTTCAGTTCTTGTGAAGACATCGTCTTTAACTTCTCCAGGCAAGTGTCTCAAATAATGCTGCTTTCTAGGCTTTCTGTCTCTGATTTGTAGCTGAAGTCATATTAGAAGGAACAGGTATAGGCAGTTGCTGATATCTATGGATTTCTGTAGGAGCAGCCATAAAACTTAGTAGAGTCTAATGGATTTATTTACTGTTGCTGTGGGGCACAGGACTGACAGCAGGCCTTGTTGCAGGCTTTTTGCAGGCTATGAAAGAGAGCAGCATACTATTTTCTAGAAAAATGCAAACGTCTGAGAAACTTACTGTCAAATGGTACTATATCTGCCACCTTTCAAAAGGTAAAAGGGTAATGCTTGAGACAGCAAAATGCCAAACATTGTTGGATATGGAAATAAAATTTGTAGGTTGTTTGTTTTTTTTAATTGATTATCAAAGAAACTTTAAAGTTAAGCATTGTTTGAAGGGATGGAAGATGATGGGAATGGCAAATTCAGAGCCTGAGAAGGAAGTTGATAAAGTGCTTTCTGCATAAATATTTTATATTTTTCATAGGTGGCATGAAACGTCCTGTTTGTAAGCATATGCATAAGGAATGCTCTTGGCACACCTTGATGAGTTACTTTGGCCTAAACATCGATTGCCTCTTGTAAAAACCTGTAAGTAAAATAAATGTAATTTGATTTGAGATTTCTTTGATGATTTGCTTTCTGATCACAGCATGATCTGCCTCTAAAAGGAAAAGTGAAGAGCAGTTCCCTTATTTTGTAAAACGGGCAAATCTTTGGTTGTATTAACTGCCACTGCAACAAAAGTTGACAAAGGCACTAAAAGCTGAATCGATTATTGTGTTTTACAGAAATGGCAGCTCAGAAAAGGAAATCTATGTTAGTAGAGCCTTCTGCTAAACGCCCAAAGCTGGACAAGAACAGCAAACCGTCATTGGCAAAGAAGGAAAAAGAAGTGTCAGATACAAAACATGTCTCAAACAAGTCAAAGCCCAATCAGTGTGCAGCACAGGAGAAAACCGTACTCAAAACCTCTGCCAAGTCAAACAGGTCAGTGACAAAAAAAATAAATAATTGTTCTAGGTTATCTTCCTAGACTAAATTAGTGCAAAAATGGTCTAAGCAGAATGAGTTTGTGTTAAAGATACAGCTAAATACTTCAATAGTACTAGTGGAAGTTCAGCCTTAAATCATAAAGATCATGTCTGCTGCATGATCTTTCTCTGGAACTGTGTTAGTGTCTTGAAATCCAGAAAGACTTCCTCCAAAAGGTTTCTGAAGTGAAAATAAATCTCATACTGTATAAGCTAATGCTTCAGTTGAAAGACACAAGTGTCAGCAATTAAAAACTACTAGAGATGTTGAAAAGCATTCAACAAGGATTCATAGTTCAGTCTTGCCACTAAGTACTACACTTGAAGAGTAACCAGGTGGAAGTCAAGTCGTTTTAAAATTATTCTAGAGAAAATTCTACTAAAACTATTGAGGGTGTAAGGTCTAGTGTTTTAAGAAGGGAAAGGGAAAAAAGAGGTAGGGGTTAATAGGAATGAGAAGAGTCTTATGACAAGTTTTACTTTCTGGATGCTGAAAAAAATAATTCCATGACTATTTCAGTGACAACACCAATGAACCTGAACTAGGAACACGCATGACTACAAGATCATCAGGATTCAACTCAAATAATAAAACAATACCCGAGAAAAAGGTCCAACAGCAGCCTAAGTCTACAAAAAATAAGGAGGTATGCCAGAAAAAACCTGTGCAAGAAATTCCGAAGTCAAAATGCATAATTGTGCCAGACGAGCCGGTAATGAGGAGATCACAAAGGCTGCAGCAGTTAACACATGCAGCTGTACATGTACCAGCAAGATCCCTGCGCAACAGAGAAGTTAAAGAAAGAGCTTTGGAAGTTAAACAGAGTAACCAGACAAAAAGACATGCTCACAGTGTTGCAGCAAAAGTACTTAAATCTGCTGGAGAGAAAACGGAACAGAAAAACACAAAAATAAAGCCAAACAATACAAATGAGGATAAAGAAATACATGTGGAAGTGACCAGCTCTCTGAAAGAGAAAAAATGTAAAGCAGACAGTAAAAATGATAATTCAAACAGTTTTCAACATGACCTTCAAGGGTCATCATTATGTCCTGATGACAGTCTTGGGGAAGTTAAGAAAGGCCCTGCATCTCCTATTCCTAGCAACACAAAGAAAGTGGAAACAGATTCTCTTAAGCCAAATTCTAAGACGGTAACTAAGGAAAAGCAGCAAGTGCATCAGAACGTAAAAAACAGTACAAAACCAAAAAAGATTGCACAGCCATCTCTAAGTGAAACACATGTGCCTGATCAGCCAGAGAACGATGCGAAATCCAAAAGGGTAAGCATCCTTGAACTTTGTGAAGAAATTGCAGGTGAGATTGAGTCAGACACAGTAGAGGTGAAAAAAGATTCCCCTCATGCCGAGTGTAGAAAAACAGAAGAAAAGCATGCCGACGTCCAGCTTCAACAAAGTGAAATGCTTACTCAGAAAGAACCTACTCAGAGTACTCAATGCAAACGTTTTTTCCCTAGCAAAAAAGGAATGCCTGTCAAATGCACTCTGAATGGTAGAAATAACTCCTCAAACAAAAATTCTAAATGGACCAAAATTAAATTGCTGAAAGCTAGTAACGTGAAGCAAAGTAACTTAAATTCCGCAAATGCCCCCAAGCTTTCTTTGCTAAAAGATTACCCTGAAGTTTCAGAGACAAGTCAAATAGCTACAGAAGCAGAGCTTTCAAAGGCACGAGGCAAGCTGTCTGAGGATGAAAGTGCAACTTGTGTGCAGGAGAAATCAGATCATTCATCTGAAAGAACCGGAGCTAAAGAAGTGACATCAGAAATGAAACAACCCGCAAAGAGAGGTGCAGAAAATGGTTTGTTGCATAATTGTGCAAAACATTTATGTGAGCCACGACCAGATGAGGTAAGTCATTTTAATTATGGTTGCGTAGTGGGAGGGTGTTCTGAATCTGTTCTGTTTTTCTGGGAATGCCATGCTCAGAAAGTTTGTTTTAACAATGACTTTATTTTATGGTAACTTAAAATTTTCAAATGTATTGAAGATCCTTTACTGGTGGGTTGTCATAGATGGGATGATAGTAAGCTGGAAAATGAATCTGTTGCACCCTCCCAAGTTTTGTACTTGTAATACAAGATGTTAATGCTTAGTTAACTGAGTGATTTTAATAGGTTAGAGGCATTAAATAGTTCATTTTTTTTTAATTTACTGCTTTCTGTTTTGTTTAGACCTTTCGATTACGTTTGGAATCAAGTCCAGAAAGCTCTCCAGTAAAGTATGTTCCAGCTCCTAAACCACCAAAACAAGTAAAAAAAGAAGCTGCAGAAAGTGAACCTCAAGGTAACTAACTGTCCACTACTATTTTTTCTCTTCTTCTGACCAGTTATATGGGAAGCGTAAGTCTTCCTTTCAGAAGAATTTTTCACAGAATAAGGTACAATTGGCACAGAATTAAACTTCTGTGACTGGAATTCTTCACCAGGGTTTTCTTTCTGCGTCACACCTGTGGCCACTTTAGTAGCAGTCAGTGTCCTTTTATCTCTGGGCTGTGTAGTGGGAGAGAGAGGTGTCTGTTGTTCTACCCAGCTGTGCTTTTAGTGTGTCTTTGTGCTTTATGCATGAATATTTTAATGCTTTAATATGCTCCATTTGAGTAAAAGTGAAGTAAGAACTTTAAAAAAAAAAAGAACAACCAAACAGAAAAAAAACCCAATCAATTCCTTTCCTTTTCCATGTAATAAAGTAGTAAAACTTCAGTGTTTCAGTTGGGTTTGTCTCTAGAATTGGTTTCTCTTAAGGATTCTCTGTTGGTTACCACTTCCTCTGAATAAGTATCTGCATTTCTTCCTCCTAAATTGTTCTACTTGATCTTGATCAAATTATTAATTGAGTAATCACTCTCCTGTTTTTATTACATAGTCTTCATTTGTCAGCCTGTGAATGCAGTTTGTCTAATTTTAAGATGTGTGTGATGTGAATATTTTGACTCAAGTACATTTGCCTAAGAAATATTATTTATATGAAAGAAAATATATATAAGAAATATTATATATGTGACTGCCTAAGATCAGTCACATATCTCTTCGTTAACTTCTCTTTTGCTATTTCATCCTTTTGTTTTTGAGCTTTTGGTTTGAGTTTGTTTTGGTGGGTTGTTTTGTTTTGTTTTTTTTAATCTGAACCTGATTTTGAGTGCAGTGTTTAACTACTTAGCTCTACTAAATAGTCTTTTTTCCCTGCCACTGTAGATTATTTTTGAAGGGCAAAATACTCTACTTGTACTGTTAGAGAACCTAAAGAATATTTTTTCTTTCTTTTGCTGTTCTTGATTGTTTCTTTTCTTTAACTGTTATAGAACACACCTCGGATGGGGATGTCTTATACACTTATTCTAATCCTATGCATAGAGCTATTTATATGGGTGTCAGTAGAAACAGATTTAAACTCCTGTGTGGTTTCAATATTGGCTTTGTTAGCTACTGACAGAATGCTCTGCAGAACTGCTGCAGAAATGTAGAAGATTGCATATTTTTTTAAGTACTTGTGGAGAAACATCTGAATACTGCCTCAAGGTTGCATCTTTTTTTATTGGCCATGACCAGATTGCAACGTTGTCTTGAGTATGTTTTTCTAAATCACTATTTGTGTAGCTCAAATTTCCTTTGCGACTAAGAACTTTATAATGAAGTTATAATCTTTGATTAATTGTAGGTTTGGCACCCAAGCAGTTGACGCAAACTTCAGCTACAAATCAAACTTCTGAAACTGAGAACAGGTATGGTAATTTATACACTATGAAATTACAGTAATCTTCTGTAGAGTTATGAGAGGTTTTGTTATAAGACTAACTATTCTGTTGTCTCCCAGCCTCAACTTTCAGTTTCAGATAAGTGGCTTGCCTTTTATAAAAATAGACTTTCTTCTTACCCAGTTAATAAGGCATGTTTTTATTTTGTTAAGAAAATTATTAAGCCAGGTACATTTACTTTTAAAAGTAGAATTTAACAGACTTGGGAAGAGATTTATAATGGTCTCTTCCTCAAATCAGATGATAACCAGAGAGTATGGGCAGAGTTTACAACATGATTTTCACTTACTGAATTATTTCACTTATTTCAGAAAGAGTTTTCTAATCATTAAATTGTGAGAGTCTTGAATGTATGAAATCTTTTTAGGTGGGGAAGAGAAGATTTAATTTGGGATTGTTTTGTGATTGCTATGAAATGAAGGTGTCAGCTGCCATATAAAAAAAAATTATTCTTGTTCTTACTACTAATGGTTCAAATGTTGTAGTTTTTGAACAATTCTGACATTGTCTCTGGTTTTAGCCAATTACAAGCTAAAAGCAGTAATTTCTTCATACCTGATACCTTGAACAGCAACATAGTTGGCACATAATGGAGACAAGAAGAAATGATGCAGTTAATTTTTAGTACGTCTGTTTGAGGCCAGATTAACAATTCTGACTAACCAACCCTTTGGTACATATTGCAAAACTCTACTACTATGGAATTTCACAGAAAATGGGTGATAAGGTAGATGTAAAACTAGTTAAATGAATATTTTTAGATTTTTCTCAATAAATATTACAATAACTTTGATTTTAAAATATTTTTATTCTCAACTGCCAAACAGCTTTATGGTGTCTATTATTAACTTTCTTAGCTCAACAAGGCCTTTACTATTATTTACTATTATTTTTCTTGTGAGAACTTTCTTACGCTGCTTTGCATTTGCTGTCCAAGATTTAAGCCATCGTTCTTTCTGTGGTACTCATGCCATAACATAGAGTAATGTGCATATCTACAGTGTAGCTCTCGTTAGGGCTTTGTGAGAAAAGCTTGCAGAGGTAAAAGGCAAACCTTGAAGTAGCTGCTTAACGCAAATTTTGGGACACAGGACAGGAATGAAAAAATTAGCTCTGCTTTAGCACAAAAAATGGTATTTTGAAATATCTGGCAAGAGTTTTTCTTTCTGAAGAAGCTCACTGAATTAACCTGCTACATGTACTACAGCAGCTGCTGCAATTATGTATTTGGCCCTAAATCCTTCGTTTGCTCAGAAGCAGAAAATACATAAATACCTTGCTGAAGTACGATTATTTCTGTGTGAGTTTTGCTTTGGTGATCTCCACAAGTTTTATTCAAAACTGGAATTAATGTTATTTTTTCTACTGAATATAGTAGCAAGTTTATGGAATAACTTTGTGTTGATGTACTATAGTACTTTCCAGTGTTTCTTTCAGTCGTGACAAGGGGAAGCTTAAACAGAGTGGGAGAGATTCTGGTGATATCCATCCATTTATTCCTCAGGTCCACTTCTCCCTCCCTTCACTGCCAGCCATCAGAAGAGAATAAGTTTCATTTGGAGAGATACATGACATCTGTTATATATTGACCACTTACATCTGTGGGAATATTTACATGGTCTGCTTCAGCAGCCTGATGTATGATACCTAAAACTAGAAACCTAAACCTTATGTAGGAAATACATAGCATTAGGCACCATCAGTCATGCTCTGAAAATGCCTCAGTTAAGTGTGTTAATGGTTGTGACTAACCTACCCCACTTGAGTATAAATTTTGATTTTTTTTTTTTTTTTTTTAAAGAAAATTCTTGTAATTAGGCTAGTCACAAACTGTATTTTTGGTTAATCCTTTTCTTTCCTTATTTTTTCCATTTGAATTACAAATTAAAATACATAGGCCTGTGTTTTGAGTAATTAACCTGGATTTGCATCTCATTAAAGTTTGGTTATACTAATCACAACGGCTTTGAGTATCTAGGATGACATGTATAAGCAGTCCCTTTTTAACATGAAATATATTTATATTTCAAGGGTTCCATTGTCAAATCCTTCATTAGCATCAAAATGCAATAACTTCCTACCATCTGAGGAACATATTCAGAAGCTAAAAGAAGCAGGAAAAGATGATGATAAGCAGCTGATCATAGTAAGTAATACCTTTTTAGTGAGACTTACAACTTCTCAAAGAAATTATTTTTCAATTTGCAGTCCTGTGTTTTTGTGAACTTGTCTAAAATTATTACTTTTAGATACTATTATTGCCATTATTAATGATTTGTGGAAGTAGAGCCTGTACTAGGTTGTAATTCAGAATTAGTGAAAAAAATGGTGGCAGGCTTAAAATGTTTAAAGCTTCTTGTTAAAACAAATTTCTGTGTTTTTTAATAGAATGGCTGTTCAGTAAAAATACAGTTGTTTTAGGGAGAATGAACTTGCCTTTACTTATGTGCAAAATCTCAGGTTGTTAAAATTTCAGAATTATAGAGGAAGGTGCATCTGGCAGATTGTGTGCAGAATTAATATCAACAGATTTATTCCTGCATCATTCAAATGTCCATTGTTTGAGACAAACTTAAAGATTTTCCATTTTCACCATAATATTTAAGCAGCAATACTAGTTTGGTTAGTTGTTCTTACCCTTATTTGATATTAGCTACCAAATGCAGGTATCTCTCTTAAAACAAGAAAATGCAAAATAAGAAGGAAGAGAGTGAGGCACAGCTATTTTTCTGTCTTGTAGAATCATACAATTTGATAATGAAAGAACTGGAGTTTTTTGTTGTGTTTTGTTTTGTATTTTTAATAACCCATATATCAGACAATCCTTAGGAGATGAAAGGCTGGAGCTGGGAAGCTACAGAAGGAGAGGAACCCAGGTCATTAGGAAGGACGACTCTGTAGTAAACTTCTTACAAAGTTATCCCTCTCACGTATAACTGCTGGTCTTGTTAAATTGCAGTCTTTCCATGTAATACATGGATTTATACACATGAAAGTATTGACTAAAATGGAACCAGGTGAATTCTGAACCACTCTCTTGTATCCATAGTGAAATATTTTAAAATCAGAGCTTGAGAACGAAATTGATAAACATATTCTTGATCTGCCTGAAGTGATAGAAATCTGGGCACTTGAATGTCTAGTCACAAGACGATAAATGAACTGTATCTAACATCTACAAAGTATTTCAGCTGTTGCTTCTCTGAAACTCGTTTTACTAACAGAGTTAAAATGCATGATTGAGTATCTTAACTACATTAAAAGGACTATAAGAATATTCCTTTTCATTTCAGTAAAGCTAACTTAATTTTTGCTCATACAGTAGCAGAACTTGACTGAAGAGTTGCTAGGGTCTTTGACAAGAAGAAATAAATAACTTCCTGGTCAGCCTTACTGAAGGGAAGTTGCGTAGCTCTCCTCTACAGTATTCATACAAAGAGATTTTTTGCACCTTATTGACTATGCTGGTAGTATTCTTGTTTTCAGCCCAAATCAGGCAAGTAGCATTTTTTTCCCTAGGTATTCACCAGTAAAAGTTTAAAGTTCTTTACCTAGCAAAATTTTAGAATATAAAGAATTGGTCATCAATGGTCCTTTCACACTGGGGAAACTGGGAGAGACCTAGCTTCTTGTTTTCTGTGTGTATTTCTGGAAAATACAAGTGAGCACTGTATTTAATTTTTAAATGTGACAGTAACAGCTTCATAATATCTAATATGTTTCAGCACTTCATACAAATCTAATTGGTTTTGATTCCACTGAGTTCAGAGTAGGCTTTTTATTGACTGAACCAGGCATTTTGGTAGTGCCTGTAGTTCACTTTACCAAGAAAGCATTAGGTACGGTATTGCTCTGTTATTCTTTTACCTGGGGGAAAAACTGCTTTTAGCATTGGCAAAACATATAGAAGAACCCAAATATTTGTTAAGGCATTTTGTAAAATACTATCCTTGACATTAGTTACTGTGGAGATGCGATGTGGTTATGTCTAGAATAGTTCACACTAGCATCTGGAAGGGAAAAATCACTAAATTGACTTGAAGTACCAGACTTTGCTTGTACAAATACATGAAAGATTTAGGATTAAATGCATGTAATAAAATAAGGTACACTTTGTAATTAATAGTATTGTTTGCAAAACCATGATGAATTTCTTAAATTTTGATTATGAATGGCTGGAATTTTATTTTATTTTATTTTTAGTGTTTTCAAGTGTTTATTTTATTTTAGTGTTTTAGTGTTTTTATGTGCTTCTGTAACAATCCTCTGAGAACAGGGAAAAGATTCATTTGGTTTAAAAGTTGTTCAGGTTGAAATTTCTCCCATACAGAGAACAGTCTTACTACCCGCAGCCAAATCGCTTAGATTAGCGTTTATAGTGTCTGTAAAAACCTTTATAGTTCATAGCTATAAATAATATTTATTTCAAATTTCTGGTGCGTTGTTTTAAGAGAAGCAGTTTTATTGTTCTTTACCTTGAGCAAAGTTGGGAAGCCATGCTTTTATTCTTAGCAAGGAACATTTAACTTGCAGTTTGTTACACTTTTAAAAAATATTAAATGCCTGAAAGGTACAGTTTTGGGCTCTCTACTGTCAGATCTGATTCTTGTGGAGAGTCCATCTTAACATATGGACAGAACCCTTTTTTTTTTTTTATATATTTTTTTTTTATTTACCGAAGGGGTTAAAAAACCCCACTAGCTGGCCTTAGTTTGACTCGCCACATCATACACTGTATGTGTTTTGCTGGTTTTTTGCTATTGAATTTTCCTAGTCTTTTGTATTTAAGCTTGTCCTTTTAATTGTCTTTACAGTATCTGGGATGTTACAATATTGTCTGTGTTTTCTAACCTTTTCATTTCCTGAGCTATGTTTAGAGAGGTGTTATGGTAAAACTAGTCTATTTTCCACAATACACTTTTTTTTTTTAATTTAGATTTTTCTTACCCGCCTTCTTTCATAGAATTGCTGTAATGAATCGATTATTTTTCTATTTTTCTTAAGGAATAAAGTCTTTAACAAGCCTTAAGACTATTGGACTGTGAGAGAAGTAAAAAAATACAACTTTATGTTTGTAGAAGAAATATTAAGTAGCTGTACTTGCACCATTCTCTCCCCTGGTGCACATCATCTCGTTATCTGAGCAGCTTTCAAACATAAAATTATCTTCATTTTGTAGAGGTACAACTAAGATCAGATTTGCTTGCTTGATTACATGTGTTAAAAAGCAAATCTCTTCAAAGCTGAAAACAGCAAGGGATCTAATGCTGCAACAAACTTCATAAAACAAGCAGTGACAGGAAACAGTGGTGTTCAAAGTAGTGTGCAAAGATCTAGGTTCAGACCTTGGAAAGTATGATCTATTTTTCTGGAGGAAAGAAATTAAGATTGAGGCTAAAAATACATTATGTTCCAAAGCTATGACTTGGTGTTTAGAGAATTAGTCTGTTCTGAATATTTGTGAACTGTACCCCCTTACACTTCATTTAAATATTCAGTTGATAGGTTGACAGGTTACATGAAGCTTCATATTGGAAGTTTTATAGGTTAATCCACTAAAATTGTGGGGGTTTTTTACTTTCCAAGTACTTGAATCTAATGTGCAAATATGAGAACTTGAATATGAAATCATCTGTTCCTTTAACTTCTGAAATGGAAAGAAACACAAATATGCAAAGCATATGTTTTCAATTTTTATAAAATGAGATATGCTTTACATCCAAGATGAGGAAAGTCAGTTGTTTGCTTCTTGTAAAAATTCTACTTGCCTGCTAAGTCTAGGACAAAATTTTGACCATAAGAATAGGAACTGATAAAAGCATTAATGCTACAAAGAAAGGTTTTAAATAATGACCTATGAGATACAGGGATACTTCTCCGTATTATGCCACTAAGGAGACGTGTTCCTTTGAAAATGAAGCTAGTCTTTTGAAAATGATACTCATCAATTTTAGGAAAGAATGTGTAAAAAAAATGAACAGCGAAAACAAGTCACTGAAGTGATAAAACCATAGTATAGAGTTACAGAGACTTTTCTGCCTTTCTAGAGATCTGAGTTGATGCCTGGATGCAAGGAAACATGATTAAATGTAGATGATGTGTATAAGTATCAGCAAATGCATGGATCAGGATTGCTTGATGGAAGTTGCTTTTGATTCTGAGGTTTGACTTGGTGCTATACATGGAAGTGATGTGCAGGCTAATTCAGTTAACACATTTGTATATCATACTTGAGTTTTTCCTTACACATATTTTGGTTAAACTTGAACATAGTTTCCTGTTTGACTGAAAGAGGTAATATGTGAAAGAAATATATTGATGTAAGCTGAAAACACGATCCTCAGTGAAAATAATAAGTGTAAAAGTGATCTCTTATGAGCGTGAAGGAAGTTGTGTAACAGTCGTTTAAAGTTGCTGTTTTGTTCCTTAAACTGGCATAGTCCAGTTGTCAGTTTCTCTTGAAGAATCAGAGAATGGCTTTTGGGCAATGTTTTGTTGCTCACATTAGTTAGTACTGCCTCTTTTCTTTCCTGTAATCCCAGTCAAAAGGAGGCAGCAGTGACTGCCTAAGTGACTGGGGAGGGAGTTTGGTAGCTGAGAGCAGTAGCTCCTCCTTTCTTCCCACACAAATTGTACCCTTGGGGACAGCTGTGCTCTTAGGGAGGCAGTAATGGCCATCCTTTCTTATTGCCACTCCTTCCCATTTCTCCTTCACTGCAGGAACCCAGCTTTCTCTAGCAAATTCAGGTGGGTTGTGTTGGGTGTCCTTTGTCTGGAGAGTGAGAATGTTTTGTAAGGTTAGCTGGGCACCTAGTAGAGGAATTCAAGCACCAGGGCTGCTGTTGTGGGTTAACTCTGACAGGCAGCTAAGCACTCTGCAGCTGCTTGCTCACTGTCCCCAAGTAGGATGGGGGAGAAGACTCATGGATTGAGATACGGACAGTTTAATAGGCAAAGCAAAACAGGGAATCCATTCACTGCTTCCTGTGGGCAGGCAGGTGTTCAGCCACCTGCAGAGAAGCAGGGCTCCATCATGTGTCACAGTTGAGAAGACAAATGCCGTAACTCCAAATGTCCCCCTACTTCCTCCCTCTTTCCTTCGTTTTTTGTCATTCAGCATGATGCCATATGGTGTAGGATACCCCTCTGGTCAGTTGGGGTCAGCTGTCCCAGCTCTGTCCCCTCCCAACTTCTTGTGCACCCCCAGCTGACTCGCTGCACAGCAGTGTGAGGAACAGAAGAGGCCTTGACGCTGTGTAAGCACTGCTCAGCAATAGCTAAAACATCTCTAGGTTATCAACGCTGTTTTGGTCACAAATCTAAAACGTAGCCCCATATCAGCTGCTCTGAAGGAAATTAACCTTACCCCAGCCAAAACCAGTACACACTGGAACACTCTGATATACTTGAATTATGTTTTCCTGTGGGTTGGGAACGAATTAATTGTCCATTGTAAATATCAGACAGATTTGGTTTTTAACTTTGTGGTTTTTTCATGCTGATTTAGCTAATGACCAGTGAGGACATCATTTCATGGTGGATAATGACCCTCCATTTTCATTTTTCAAAAATGTTAAATAAAATCAGATACTTCACAGTTCTGAAAGTTTTAAGTTGATTTATATCTTTTGGCTAAAATAGCTTTTCAGAAAGGTGGGTGCTGGTGATGGGGTTTTTTGGATGGTTGGGTTTTTTTGTGATTTGTTGTTAAATTCCACAGTCTTCATTTTGAAGTGAAACTTGTTTCTGAGTTGGGCCATGTCTTCTGATCCTCCTGGTCAGCAAGGGGATCTACCCATCAGCTCCAGTCTTGAATGCATCTGTCGCTGAAATAGCATTCTTTGACCTTTTCATTTTCTGTGAAGAGCCCAAAAATCTGTGCTGTTCCTTCCTGCTCTTGTATTTCCCTTCCAGCCTACCTGTTTCTGTGGCTGGGGTTTACTCTTTGTTCTGTGAAAAGACTAGAGGAAAAAATAATCTTCCTCTGACTAACACTAGGTAATCAAGAAAGAGGTGACCTAATCTGAAGAGAGGGGAAAAAAAAGAAAAAAAAAGGCCCCTTTTCATCTCCTACAGAGGCACCAAATGCCTTTTTTGCTTGCAGGGCTCCTTATTCTACATATGGAGGATCAACAGACATGCACCTTCTCAAAGAAGATGTTGGTAAGACTTTTCTTTCTGTCTTAACACAGAATTAAGAAACCCTTCTGGAGATTCAGACAACAGTGTCGCAATGTTCAGTTACAGTTAGCTTTGAAGCAGTGGATCTCGTATATCCTGTGTTTATATTGATGAAGATTACATGAGATGTCAGGAATGGTTAATTGCCACCTTCACATGCAGAATTTGCTTAGGAAATAAAAGTGTCCTTGCTCTTTATTGTTACTGTTTAGAAAATGGAGTTTTAAAGAGAGTAACACATTTTTCTGCCTGCAGCCCTACATTTTCTTAATTATTGCCGTGAAAAACATTTCTCTTAAATTCAGAAAGTCAGACTGCTTACATTTTTTTTCCAGTTTATTCTCCAGTATCTGATGTTTGCTGAGAAGCCCTACACTCCCCAAAATCCCCGTTTTCAGTTTTTATTTACTCTCATATGTGGTGCATAAGGTGGTTTTGGTTTTGTTTTGGTTTTTTGTTCTTCCCTCCCCATTAGGAAGGACTGTCAACCTTTAGTGCAGTCTTACTGTTTGGGGGCACTTTTTCCCTCCTGATGCTTGTCCTTTCCACTTCTGCTTATGTAATGACATCAGGTTAAAAATAGTCAGATTTTGGAGATGTTTTGTTAAACTACAAAAACGCATTCTTCATAATTCCTGACTTTATTTTGCATGTCCTATGTTGGTTTTTTGTTGTTGTTGTTGTCTGCATTGGATTTACAAATCTGCTTTTTTTCTTTTTTTTTCTTTTTTTGTCTGAAGCATTGCGTCCTGTGATGTGGCTTTGAAGTAGTGCTTTGGTTACACAAAAAGGCTATCTTCTTTACCACCCTCAGGATACTGTGAAGTATTTGCTAAAAGTATATTCAGCATTTGTTAGGGCTACAAATTCAGAAGGTTCATTTAGATACTACAGTGTGTTTTTTCTGATTTTCGTATAACAGAGTTTTAACATTAATCTTTGTGTGTAGCCAATTGATACAGCTGAATGCCTGTAAAAATGGTAATATCAGTGATATCCTTAACCGCCCCCCCCCCCCCCAAAAAAAGCAAACAAAAAATACTGCCAAAAACCCAAACCCACTGATACCAGCAGCATCCAAGAAAGTCAACCTGTAAAATACAATGTCGCTCTACTATTCCAGGGAAATAATCTGTTCGTGGACACTTGCAGAACAGCGTATGTATTTACAGGGCAAGATGGGATGAGCTAAGGAGCCTGACCACTGAGGGTATCCTTGCCTTAGATTTTTTCTATGACTTCCTATGTAGATAGGCTGCTTTTTTAGGCTTGAGATTTTTGGTAGTAAACTAATAGATATTTTATCTTAAATACCTTTAGCTTCTTCATCATTTGAACATAAATTGTTTCATGAGACTTACTGCAGTACTGATATGTGCTAAATATTTTAAGAGTTGCCTTGCCTTATGTAGCTGATTTTCTAATTTATATGGCTTATTTTTTTAAAGTATATTCCAGGCATAAAGTAGACTTCCTCTTTACCTATCCTACCCTAGATATAGGGGATATGTTCTCAGTCTTCAACATAGGAATTACTAAGTTGGGTTCAATTGGTTCATCTTAAGTTCATGGGCATATATCATCCTTTGCTGAACTGCCTTTTTTCATCTTCCACGCATAAACCCTTGAAATGCAGTATATTTTGGTGGCCAGATGGTTACCTTGTTTTGAAGTCTGTTATTCTATTCTTTAAAGGAAGTCTGCAGGTAAAACAAAATGTGTTGGATTCAGATTCAGTTTTTACACCTTTTAGAAACCTCATCTTATTCTGACTTTGGAAATCTAACTTCAGGATTCATCTTTCCTTTTTCCTTCAGAAAATTAGTGTACTGTTTCTCCTTCTGCATACAGTATGAATGTATAAATTGACATACTATTAGAGCAATGACTTCTCAGATTTGGCTTCTTTCTTTTGGCTGAGTTCTGTAAATGTGCTCTTAAAGAGGAGTTCACCTCTGAGTTTGCCTGGCTGCTGGTTGTGCCTTTAGTCTCTTCTTGGGAAGAAACTGATACTGACATTTTAGATTTCACTAATGACTGCTTAGAATAAGTTGCTGTTGTGTGGAGAACTGAGCTGTCTTCTAGCTCTTAGATGTACTTAGACGTATCTTTGAAGATGGAGTAAGAAATTATTTGTAAACACTTTTGCTGTGTTGCAAAATGCTTTCTTCTGTGAAGTAGGCTTTTTTACTATGAATATTTTCAGCTCTCAGAAAACAAAATTAAGTTCAGGTAATCTGTTTTCTTGCAAATTGTGCACACAGATCAATTTCCTTTAAATAACACCCTCAAGTCGTCCTCTGTATAAAGTATACTAGATTTTATACTTTAAAGTATAAAATAACTTTTTCTTTCTCTATGACTTGTGATATATGTTAAAATAGATTAAAAAGGACATTTATTGCTGTTTAAATACATTCAATTTCCAAATGTAGTTAAAGAAAAAAAAATAATGTATTTGAGCATTAAGCAATTACTTAAAACATGCCATTTTGGCTAAAGACTTCAATCTAACTGGTATTCCTTTGCTCTTTGCAAAAGACGTATCCTACATCTGACACTTCACTCTCTATTGGGTACTGAATCCTTAATCTGAGTATACTTCCAAATTAATAACACTTTTAATGAATAAATAGCAAAGCAATAGGTACTGAGTAGTACCCTGAATTTGGTAATGGTTGGTTATGCTTTAGGAGGATAACCAAAAGGGTCATGACTCAAATGGTATGATCTTCTGTTTGTGTTGTAGCTGCCATCCAGTGTCTAAAAAGTAAAAGTTATGAACCCTGTGCAATTAAGACAGCATGTCAAACATCATAGTTAGCTGTTTTCAATTAAGAGTTAAGACGTAAGTTCTGAGAGTATGTTAAATGAGGCTTTTAATCAATGAAGAGAGGGATAAAGAGCAATAATGTTCTTTGATTGCCTTGAAATACTTGATTTTGGTAAAAACCTAAAAAGTAGTATCAGCTATTGCAGATGTATTACTGAACTTAACGGTTATTTCTGTAACTTTTGGGTTTTTTTATAATATTCTTCCAAATATTCAGGAAAATGTCTCACCTTTGGCCCACCTCAAAGGAACTCGCAACCAAAAGACAGGCAGCAGCAGAACTGTAGGGAAAACTAAATAATGTGGGGCTGGATGTGGGAGTTTTCTTTGTGGAAGATGATTATATTTACTGCAAATAGGGTAACAAAGGAAGAATTCTCTGTTCATTGTATTTCATAAAATACAAGTAACTTGTTCAAAAGTAGTGGGAAGGGACCTAGTTTTAATGTTGGGTAGAGTTTGCTGTGTGATTGAAGCCTGTGACTTTTGAGGCTGTGGGGGTTTTTGAAAGATGGTATTCTAAATTCTGTATTTGTTTTCTCCTGGTTTACTCCATTTTAGCCTCTCTGTTGAGCTTCCAGAAGATAAGTTAGAAAAGGCATGTCTGATCAGCTGAAAATTCTGTTGAGCTGTATTTACTGTGCTTGCAATTGACAAATACCCTTTCTTTTTTTTTTTCTTTTTTTTTACTAGGATGCAGGACAGAAGAGGTTTGGTGCTATTTCCTGTAATATTTGTGGAATGCTTTACACTGCGTCAAATCCAGAGGATGAGACCCAACATCTGCTCTTTCATAACCAGTTCATAAGTGCTGTAAAATATGTGGTAAGAAACCTTATCTTCTTAAAGACATAAGCATTATCTTTTATTTGCTGTGTACTAGTTACAATTCGTATTACATTAAGTTGTGTTTTAATAGATTAGTGTGGCAGTAGGCCAGAAGTAATCCACTTTGGGAAATAAGTGTTTTTAAGAGCCATGGTAGACAGGTTATATGTAAAGTGTAACTGTATTTAGTAGGATAGTGGTGTGTCATTGCCATTGTATTCTTTCTGTTACAACTCCTTAATCTTGGGGAGGGTCAGGGGGGTGATAGGAAGACAAAGGAATGTCACTATTCTGAAAATGCTAAATACAGGTTTCAGTACAACTGGTGTTAGCAGTGGTTGGCTTAATAGTCAGATAAAGAGCTGATTGTACTGTTTTTGTAACTGTGTAATCTTAGATGACATCTAAATTACTTTTTCTTAATTATGTGTAATTTGAAGAGAGATTGCCTAGGAATTCAGCTGATACAACTTTATAGTATATTGAAACTTCACTGAATTTATAGTGTGATTGTAGTCTTTAAATATAAAGTCCAAAGTATTATTCCATAACTTCATTGTATGTGTGGTATCTGAGTCTCTCTCTCATATTAAAGCTCAGATTTGAAAAAGTTTGTACAATTTAAAGTGTATTGTAAAATCAGCTACTTCACACTAGCTGATGTTACAAGACTTGCAGGAAATATCTGTTCACATGTCTGAAATCCAGAATAGAATCCACAAAGTCTATTTTGTCACACATGTTACCTTCAGTACTCTACACTCGAGTAGATAAGACCTCCAGGATAACTGAACTGAGGCCACCAATTTGTGTCATGTAGGTACCAAATGGCTGTTGGGCTACTCTTAAATCTCAAGCTCAATTTTATCCCACCGTTTACAAACACAAAGATGTATTTTCATAGCTAAAGTATTTGAAACCATCTGGTAAATAGTTGTGGTGTTTGTTCTGTTCTGAGTTAGTTTTTGCTGAATAATGCAGACATCTTGAAAGTTCTCCTCTGATACACATCAGCTACGTTGTAGGGCGAGACCGGGCAGAAAGCGCGATGTTCGTATCCGTCCCCTGCCCTTCCCATTCAAGTGCTTTCAGATCTTGAATGTTACTGAAGATGTAAACATAGTTTACAGAGGATGGTTAGGTTTTTTTGGACAGAAGCTGGCAGATGAGTTCAGTAGTTAATTAAAGGTGCTATGTTCTTGTAGGTAGGAGGCTGCACTGAAGTTTGCATATTTTGAAAGTTGAAAGAGCTGAAATGTCTCACTTGTGTGTATGTCTAGAGTAGCAAGATAATTAACGTAACAGTGAAAGAGCAGACTGCCTTAAACCAATGGTAAATAACTATGTATAAAGTTAGGTATGCTTTTAATTTGATAAAAACTTTCCCTGTTGTTTTCTCAGTTGCTAGGAATCTTTTTAAAATTTCACACAAGGTACTCAAACAAATTATTTGTATTGACAGTTCAGTGAGTAACCAGCTCTCTCCCTGAAATCTTTTAAGACTTTAGTTGTGTTTTGTGACGTTATAGGCAGCTATAGAGCAATGATTTAGATGGTTATTCTGTAACAGAAACAGTAGAGTAAGAGGTCAAAGAACAAGTCTTAGGAGTCTTTAAATTCCTCTCTGATTTTTTTTTTTCGCATAACAATTTGATTGACACTGTATTTTTTGCATGGATAAGCAGCTTTTGCCATGCTAAACAGAGAAGTCTGTAAGACTACTCATTTGACCCATAGTCTGTGGTTCTTGGTCGATCGTGTTGTGGCAATGTCCATGACGGAATCACCCTCACTGCCTCTTAGAGAATATTTTTAATTTTAGACAAGCCTTCTTGACAGTGAATTGGTAGGCAAAGTCTTTACTTCTTAATTCTTACTTAGTCGTCGAGAAGTACCAGAGGAATGATTGCAAATTATCTTTGGTTTCCTAGGAGGTTTCTAGTGTGGATTGTTGGGAGGATGGTTTGGAGGTGTGATATGCAAAGTGGTGTCCCTCAGGGGTCGGTGTTGGGA